TACAGGAAAAGGCAGGTAGAATGCTAACTTTTCTCAAGCTCATAGGAAAGCTGAGGTGGGGCCCTCAAGGTGTCGGAATCCAAAGACATGGAGATGGCTCACCTGTGGCGGAGCATGGGCAGAAAGGCTGACAGCCGTACAAAGGGTGAGAAGAGATCAGTAACACTGTAGCAAATTGTTGGAGACTCTGTGGGCTGGAATATCAGTCTGGAATGCCCAAGGACCCTGATACTTGGGGAGTTTGCATTCACTTGTAGGCCATTTTCTGTCAGCCTCCTCTGGGTGGGTGCTCATGAAAGCAGCGTGGGAAACCAGACAGGCCTCCTCCATGTTGTAGGAAGTGATTGACTACTGCTACAGGAATAGCAGAAAACCATGCTCTCGGTTCTACTGTAATGGGTTAAGTTCATGGAATGAATGGTGTTTCTCAATTAATTGGATATTGCGAGGCAGCCATTTCAGCGGTCAGGAGTTAGAATGCTAGAAACAGCCTGAAAAGCCCAAAAGAGCTCCCCAGTCCTAACATTTCTTGCACAGTTGTTCTTTACCATGATTAGTTAATATAAACATTCTTGATTTATAGCATTCTTAATATGCTGGTAGGATTCTAATTTTTAATAAGAATGGTAGCATCCATATCCTCAGAAGAATTGAGAAATTATATGTCAGTGTTGGGATAGGAGATTTGCAGATCAGTAGAAGGGAGTATTTTCTGCCTTGAAAATTATGGAAATTGAAGTAGTATCTCTTAAAACATGTAGCTGATAATACGGAAGAAGTTATTTCTGATGGCTCAGACTTTGGTAAATTTTCAAATTCAATATAATGAACATAATTATATTATTCACGGTTTAGGTGTTATAAGTACGTTTTCATTTATACATAATTGCTTGTTACCTATCAGCTTAGATATGTTAATTCTGTTCTTTAATGTAGCAGATGTGAGAGTCTTCTGTTTAGGAGACAATAATATTAAACATCTGTGCTGCTCTGTAGACTTAATTGCTTTTGGAATTACAGTAAATGGATTACAGTCAACTCTCTGTATCTGTGGTTTCTGCCTCTGGAGTCAACCAACAGCAGATCAAAACTATTTGGGGGCCAGACACAGTGGCTCATGCCTATAGTCACCTACTCAAGATCTTGGCCGAAGTGGGAGGATCTTTGAGCCCAGGAGTTTGAGGATGCAGTGAGTTCTGATTATGCCACTGCACTTCAGCCTGGGCAATACAATGAAACCTTATTTCTGAGAGAGATACATATATTTTATATAAATATATATTTATATGTATATATGGGGAAGAAAAATGGATGGTTGTATCTGTACTGAACATGTATAGACTTTTTTTCTTATTATTTTCTAAAATATACACAAGTATTTACACACTAGAGGTGATTTCAGATATACAGGAGGATGTGCATAGGTTAAATGCAAATACTGTACTGTACCATTTCACAGCAGGGACTTGTGCAGCTACAGATTTTGGTATCTCTAGAGGGTCCTGGAACTAGTTCCCCCATCTATACCAGGGAACACTGTAATTCAGTATTGGTTATCATGGCCACGACTGGTAAGCAATATTTACAGTAGAAAACCTTGACAAGGATCCATTTTTAAATTTCAGTTTTAATTTCTAAACATTGTTTATTTTTTTAAAATCTTTACATATGACTTTAAAAGAAAATTGATTCACATGGTATTTATTTTTTCAAATTTGTTATTTTTTAAAAAGGAAGTATTTTCTAAGAGAATAAGCATCAAACTTCATTTCAATTAATACATTTATTAATTCCAGTTGACTAACCATCAAACTAGGTTATTTTTTAAAAAAGAACATTTATTTTTCTCTGTTCATCATGCTTATTTTTTATTTGCGATTTGATGAGTTAATGATTTTGTCCTCTGAACTATTCTACTAGGACTGTACTTATTCTCTACTTATGTATTTCTTTATAAATGAATGTTCTTTGTATTTATTACAATATATATCATAGACGTTGAATACATAATTGGAGTACTTAATTTTTTTATTTTTAATTTTTTATTTTGAAATAGATTCACAGTAAGTTGCAAAAAAAAAAAAAATAGAGTGGTCCTATGTCCCCTTCACTCAGTTTTCTCCAGTGGTAGCATTTTTTGTTTTTTTCTAAATTCGCATTGTTTTTTAAAGGCAATGTCTGGTTTGCCCATAGGAAAGAAAGCCTAATAATGACAGTGAGTGAGGAAGAGGAAGAGCAAGGCACAGCCAACTGCCCATCCCATCATAGTCTGGAACTCAGCATCCAGGGTTTCTCTGGGGTCCCTTTGGTCAAAAGGGGGTCTGTTCAATCACCAAGGGGCTTAGAATTGTATTTTTATTTCTTAGGGTGGAGACAGGACCTGATGTGGCTCAGCTTCCCAGCTTCTCCAGTGGGGGCCTCCTTTCCTGTCCTCTGCTGAGTTATGCCTTCTGCCAACAGCCTCGTTCGTTCCTGCCCTTCGCATGTGCTGTTTCTTCTGCCTGAAATGGTTTCCTCTTCCCACCCATCCCTCTCTTGTCTAATTAATACCTATTCATTTTGCAAATCTCACTCCTGCATCCATCAAGCCTTTCAAGGTCATGGCTGACTTACTGTCCTACAGGCCTTTTTTTCCCAGCACACATTACAGTTAGTAACTGTGGAATTGGTGCTTATGTGGAGAATGCTAGCTGGGAAGCTTTGGGGGCAGGCACCCCACTGTTGCCCACTGTTTATGCCCTTTGTGCCTAATGCAGTGCTTGCTCACATGGTCTTCATATGTGTTCATTAAATGAGAAAATATTGTCACAGCTTCATGGGTTCTTCTTGCCCACTGCCCAGAAAAGCTAATGCACTGAGAACAGCAGGTGTTGCAGCAGAGAAAGAGTTTAATCTAGCAGGGCCAGCCAAGTGGAAAACAGGTGTTTCTCAAATCCACCTTGCTGAGAACTTGGAGTCTAGAGTTTTGGGAGTTACTTTATCAGGCAGGGGCCTGGGGAACTGAAACAGTTGACAGGATTCATGCTACATTTAAAAGATTTTTCAGGCTTCATCCACAGCCTGGATGGATGAAATCACAGGAGTGTCTAAACCGTCTTTGCACAGCTGAGTCAGTTCCTGGTTGGGGGGTGGGTCTCAGGGCCAGGTAGCATCTCTTGGTTTGTCAAAATGCTAAGTCTGAAAAAATACCTCAAAGATCAGTTCTCTAGGTTCCACAATGGTGATGTTATCTACAGGAATAGTTGGGGAAGTTACAAGTTATAGCTTCCGGTTATGTGATTCTGTGGCAGTAAGCAATTTATAGAAAAGCAAACTTAGCAGTGGCAGGTCAGTCATTGATTAAGTGTGTCTATTGTTCAGCAAAGTCCAAACCCCTACCATAATTCAAATCCAGCCTTAGGAATGTGGCTTCAGTCCCCAAACAAGCAGGAAGGTCAGTTTTCCTTGCCTCAAAGTTTAACTATAAACCAAATTTTTCTCACAGTTCTCTTGGCCTCTACACTAGAATAAGCTAAAGACAGTGTAGCCTGTGAGGTTAGAAGCAGGATGGAGTCAGTCATGTTAGACTTCTCTTATTTACAATTCTGCTAAAGTGGTTTCAGTATCATCCTTCCACATATACTTTTTTTGTAAAAATAAAACTATTAAAACTTGGTGACGCCTGAAAAATCTTTTAAATGTAGCATGAATCCTGTCAACAATATAAAATATGATATAAAGTAAGGTTTAAAGAAACGTGAACTTTTTAATGGAATCTATTGGCAGATATGACTTAACTAAATCTTGACTTTAAAAAATTGTGTTTGAGGAAATATTTCTTTCATACAAGATGGGTGCCCCTGGTTTTAGAAAGCCCCAGGCCTGTGACCTGTACCAGAATCCACATTATGTAGCTTCGTCCCATCTGTGTCTTAAGTCTTTAAAATGGTCTTTTCTGCCAAATTTGCTTCTCGAGCTAACAAATGGAAAGAGAAAAGGCTGCAGGTTTGTCATCTGAGCGGTCAGCAGATTCTGTGTCTTTCACTTAAGAAGCCATTTCCTAGCGGTTCTTCTATTAGTTCATTCATTCACAAACCTTTTCTGAGTGTCTGCCGGCTCCAGGCACTGTTCTAGACCCTGGGAATGGATGCCTACAAAGCAGTGGCTAGTTCTCCCTTCCAGCAGACAGCTCGCATTCTCATTCACAGGTGCTAAATCTATACAACCAAACCACTGAGTAACTTGCCACTGGTCTTTCTATAATGTTTCTCTTTAGGGGGCCTTTTAGCTTAGCTAGGTTGTAAATAGTTATGTAAATTGGTATGTTTCTTTAATAAACATCAGTATTAATTATTTTAAAATTGAGTGAGATGGAGCAAATTTCTTGTTCAACTACACTATTTATTTCTAAGAGGATCTGTGTGTTACAGAGTTAGGCCTAATTCATCTCAAAAAGAAAGCCTTAAATCACATAGGGACATTAAACTAACAAGCTCTACAGTTCTTTCAAGTTGGAAAAGAAAATCTCCAATTCACTGTTATGACTATTTGTTAGGATATCAGTTCAGCATTAACACTGACTGACACCGTGAATTACCATTTATTTCTTGACATTCTCATCTTTTAGTTCTATTGTCAGTTATTACATGCACTTAGAAGTCAAGAGAGTATTTGAACAGCTACTCACTGTTAGCAAAGGAACAGAAAAAGTATTCTGTGTAAGGTTTTAAATAGATTTTTAAAGATCAGCGCCAGTATCTTAGTTCCACATAATCCTGTATTTTCATGTACAAACTCTTATTTGACAATTACCACTTTTTGAAATAAAACAGAATGTCTTTATTCATGTTGTCTTGCCAACTAAAATATTTAAAGTTATTATTTTTAAACTATAATGAAATTATGTTACTCATTTTACATTTGATGTTCTTTTTAAATTTCCTGAGGCATAAGTATAATATATATAGTACAGTGACTTATTAAGCAGTTTGCTCACATTCATATTCTTTTGTTTTATCAAGCCACTGCCAAAAACTATGGTGTCTCGTCTTTGTGAATCTAAAAAGGTTTGTGCTGCAGCTGATATGCAACTTCAGGTATGTATGAAGTTTTCCAGAGTTATTATCCCAAGTAAATATATAACTTTAAATTCTTGCCAGTGATACCTATGTATTATAATAATTATGCTTCTAAAGCATCTTTCATCTGAGTTCAAAGAACTTGAGCAAAATTGACTCATACATCCTCACACTGCCCTTATGAAGTAGGCGTTAAATAAGATTATTTTCTGGCTGGGTGCAGTGGCTCACGCCTGTAATCCCAGCACTTTGGGAGGTCAAGGTGGGCAGATCCACGAAATCAGGAATTCGAGACCAGCCTGACCAACATGGTGAAACCCCATCTCTACTAAAAATACAAAAATTAGCTGGGCATGGTGGCACACTCCTGTAATCCCAGCTACTCAGGAGGCTGAGGCAAGAGAATTGCCTGAACCCAGAAGGCGGAGGTTGCGGTGAGCCGAGATCGCGCCATTGCACTCCAGCCTGGGTAACATGAGCAAAACTCCGTCTCAAAAAAAAAAAAATTAGCTGGGCGTGCTAGTGAGTGCCTGTAATCTCAGCTACTCAGGAGGCTGAGGCAGGAGAATCGCTTGAACCCTGAGAAGCAGATGTTACAGTGAGCCCAGATCATGCCACTGCACTCCAGCCTGGGCAACAGAGTGAGACTCCATCTCAAAAAAAAAAAAAAAAAAAAAAGATGATTTCCCATTTTCAGTTGGGAAAAATCAAAGCTTAGAAAAATTACATGACTTCTAATCACACATTTCACCAACTAAATTAAGGCTCAAACTTAATTATATATATATATGTTTATTCATTTTGTGTCTTTTAAAAATTTTTGGTTTTAGGTTTGAAGTTTAGATAGTAATTACTGTTAGTTTTAGATAATATTCAAAACCAACTTCCCAGGTTTCCAGATGAAGATGAGAAAACTTTCATGAACCATCTGGATGCCAGGTCTGCATGTCACCAGATGCATAGATGTTTGTAATGACTGAGATTGTTTATGGAATTCTAGCTCCTCCTCAGGTCTTGGGAGTTGTATAAACACCCTAAACACCCGTCTCTCATCTTAGGCAGTATTCACTGTGTGATGATTCAGTTACCGGTTTTAGAAAGTAACCACTATTGAATTGCTTTGTAGTTTTGTAAAATTCAGTCCCTAGAAAGTAATGAATGCGCTGTTTTTCTGTACCTTGAAGCATGGAATACATGTTTCAGTGTAGGAAATCTGTTATATAGACAAAACCATGAATTTACATCTGCTTTATATTACTCAGTATCTATTCTATCAATATAAATTTTAAAGGATTTCTGAATTATTTTTAAAAATTAAGATTACTTGGCAAAAGTCTTTTGATTTGCTGGTGTCTTGGTAAAAGGCCTACCTTTTAAAAGTCTGTTTTATGGCTTGCTTCTTGAAAAGTTGTTCTAATAATTTTCTTTTAAAATGGAAAACCAACCTTTCCTTCCCCCACCCTCCAAAAACAATAGCCCCCTAGAGACAGAGAGAGACAAAGCCCTGCTAGAGGAGCTGCCCGGGTCCGGCTGTTACATTATTACACTTGGACAGTGACGACAAACAAGCGGGGGAAGGAAGTGAATCATCAGCTTCCTATGGGGACATAAACAGTGTTTTTAGAACTATACATATTTTCAAATTATTGTTTTAAAATAGGCTCTTAATATTTTTCTGTGGCTTAATAAGCTTCTTGATCCCAGGAATGCATTGACTCCCTGGGTGGGCAGATAGGCTCATCACTTTGGAATTGTTTAGTTTATCAGCAAATAAGCATAAAAAGAATGCACATTTAATTTATTTTGCTCTGCTTCCGTATTTATTTTTCTCTGTTTTTGTATTAATTCAAAAAAGTTACCCCATGTTTGTATCATTTGTAAAAGGCATAAATGAAGAAATGAAACTCCTGAATTCTGATTTATTTATACTTGGGACAAAATAACATCTCAGTTGAGGTTAGAATGTAAAAGTTTCAGTTCCTGATAATTTGCTCTGTTAGAATATAGGCAAGACATTGAGTAATTTTGGCTTCTCTGATTATCTTTATGCATTGTTATTCATTATAAAATGTAGAATTGAAAAAGCTATATTTAGCTGTATGTTTAGATTACCAGTTAGAAGAAAGCAATATTTATATTTAGGAAATGTCTGTATTTTTCTAGGGAAGGTTTAAACTTAACTCTATAATTTAGAACCATAATTCTATATCTAAATGCAGCCAGAAGCTAGAGGTCATTTAAATTTTTTCTTTTATTCAAACTAATCCTCACTTCTTTCAAGTCAACAGCTGCACATTCTCTACAAATCCCATTTCTGAATCACAAAGATACATATCAGAAGCATAATTGCATGTCAAAATTTGTCCTGTAAAATAAAGCATTTTCTACTTGCCTCCACGCAGTCAAATGTTCAACTTAGTGTTCAGAAACAATATTTGAGTCAAATGTTGCAGTGAAAAAGTACCTTATGTTTATTTTAGATTTCTATGAAACTGAAAATTTAGTTTTCAGTACTTTGTGAAGAGCAAATTTCATGTCCGGACTTTCTTTAGTGCTTTCTTCTCCTACTGTGTCTTAGTGGCCTATATCCTCTACCCAGAGGAGAGTGCTTCTTTTCCCCTGGTCACCTAGTTGAGCCAAAATTATCCTATACAGCAGCTGCTTCCTTTGTACTTCCTGACACCAGGTGTGGGGTTCTAGTTCCAACCTCTCTAGCAGCTGCATCAGAATTCTTGGATACATCTGTACTCACCAGATGCTGCATTGCTGTTTCTTTCTCTATCCCCACCACACCTATTTTTCTTTCACCTTTCATCATAAAACTAGGTAGGATTCTGACCATTTCATGTCTCTCATTTAAGGTATATCAGGATTCCAGGAGGAAACCAAACAGGAGGGTCAAAAGTTGTAACTGTTTTTGTATATTTCCGTATACATATATTTTGGCAAAATTCCAGTTTTGTGGTCACATATTTAATTTGCCACATTGTACTTAAAGAGTATCTTATGGATATGATTCAAAATTCTTTAAAATTCTTATTTATGAAAAGGTCGAGAGCATTCCTTTTCATCTTTAGCGTGGTCTTAAATGTGGTATGAAATACATCTCAAACCATTTAAGTTTATTTTTGTGACTTTGCAACTGTGATTTGTTAACTGTCACCCTAGTGCACTTACAGCATCTTTGGTCCACCACGTGTTAGATGTGAGGATGGGCCACCAAAACTAAGTAGATGTTTTTATCTGTCTAGGTCTTTTATGCCACTCTGGATCAAATCTACCATGGGAAGCATCCCCTGAGGAATTCAACCACAGACATTCTCAAGGAAACACAAGAGAAATTCTATGGCTTACCATACATTCCAAATACTGTGAGTCCAGCATTTGCCTTCTGTTGTGTGTACTGAGTGGTTCTGCTAGTACTTCTGTAGGTTGTGATCACCTTTTCCTTGGGAGGACCTGAAATCCCTACATATATGTTGAGGCTTCACATGGCACACATGCTGGAAATTGCCTGGCTTGTTTAATATTTCCAACTACCCATTTATTTGTTCTTATTTTCTATCCTCCAGCAGTGTTTTTCCTCCTTTCTGGAAATGTGGGGGTTACAAAGGCCCTTGGAGTTGATCTATATTCTTCTTTTTAGTTATTTTTCTGTAACATGAAAAATAGTGATGTAAGATGAATGTAATTACCAATCCAGAATCATTTTCATTGGAAAGAGAATTAACATGTATTGAGTATCTTATATTGTGCCAGGAATTATGATAGATGCTTTACATTTCTTATCTTGTTGAGTACCTATCAGGAGAGAGAGGAGAAGTAATGTTACCATTCATTTGATTTTAGGCGCCAGATTCCATCTACTTTCTTTGGGAAAAGATCTCTAATTTAGCTCTCAAAATAACCTTATAAATTAGATAATATCCTTGTATTGGGGGTTCATTTGGAGGCACATACACATTATATGTCCTGTCTGAGATCATCTAGGTAGTTAAATGAGTGTATTGGGGTTCAAAACAAACAGGCTTTTTTCATCACTCAAAGGTTCCTGTAAGGAGCAGTTGATCACCCTGACTCCTGGTGCAATGAGCAACGTGACTCCTGGTGCACTTAGCAATGTGACTGACTTAACTTTACCCAGACCTCTGTCAGTTGCAAGTGATGGAAACAGTTCACATGGACTTAAATAGAAAATGGAATTTATTGAGTCCTAGAACTGAAAGGTGCAGGGGTATAGGGGTGTTTCAGGTAAGTTGGATTTAGGTCTCTCACAGAATTGTTAGAAATTTGTCTTTCTCTTTCCTCTCCTCAGCTCTGTGTTTTTCTGGGTTCTTTTCATTCTCAGGCAGTCTCCCCAGACTGGATGGTTTGAGGACTACTGGTAGGTTCAGGTTTATGTCCTTCTAGCCTCGTTGGTCTAAGAGAAAGAGAGCTAATTTGAAAGTGTTTTGTAAACTATAAAAAGCAGAATAAATGTCAAAGATTTTATTTGCTATATGATTGGATAGCAGAACATGTGCCAAGAGGTTAAGTTAATCAATAAACTGCAACTGTCCACTAAATATTCAGGTCCTAATGCTCAAATACGCATGGGAAAAGATCGTATTTACCAGGCAAGTGAAGCAACAGGATGTTTTATCTTTATAATACCCCTTTGTCATTAGTTTTTGATTGTCTTAGAAGCTTAATCATCTGCTACAAGTATATAATGCTAGTCATACTACCTGTTTTTGATCCTACATGTAATTTACTGTTCTAATACTTGGTACTGCTGAGCTCTTGATGATTGTGCTAGTGAAAATTTATAGTGATAAGAATAATCTAATTCTTCATGAAATAAATAATAAAAACAATTGCCAAGATTTTCCTAGCATTTTCCAGTTCACAGAGCATTTCCTGATTCACCTGCTTTGGGACTTGTCTGTTTTTGTTCTTATCTTATATTCTTCTTCATGGATATGAGTTAAATTTCATGACTAAGACTAACATTAGTAGAACTGGGATGTTTGCCAAAGCTGCAAAACTTCAGCTTGACTGAGTTGCTTGCCCTCTGCTCTTTTTTTAATCTTAAGTCTTATAATAATGTAACTATGTATCTTTTCAAAAGTCAACTTCTTTTACCATCCAGATTTCTTCTCTGTAATCATTAATATACAAAGATGAAGTAATAGTGGCAACCAAACTCTGACTCAACAATCCACAAATCACTATTAATTTGAAAGGAAGGGTGATGCTGAGTCCATGTGCCTTGTCCTTAGGCCTTTTGAGAAAATAAAAATATGTATCTCTTTACTGCAATTAGCTCCACAATTCATGTTCAGTACCATCGCTCTTCATGTAAATTGTTTTAAAAGGTCTTTAAAAGGAGCATAGCTATGTTTAGAGAAAAAAAGACATTATTTTAAGGCTTGCCTTAAAAAAAAAAGTCTGAGTTTGTTTAGATTTGCACAAATATCTTACTCTTCCTACTCCGAAACTTCTGCATTTCCTCATTTGTTTCTCAATTCATTCATCAAGCCTGTAACCTTCCCAACAGCATGTTGGTGAACTTGACCACTCAGGATTCAAATAAAACTGTAGGAATTGAGACAGCGTAACATTGGTATGGGGATGCACAGATAGCAATGGAACAGGAACTAGAGCCCAAAAGCAGACTCAGCAAATTCATAGACTCTTGAATATAGGTTGAGTGACACTGTAGATCAGCGGGTGAAGAAGGAACAATTTTTTAAAGTGGTGTTTTAGTGATTGATCATCTAGAAGGAAAAAAAAATGCTGCTCTGTATCACACTGCACACAAAAAATGGTTAAAGACCCAAATGTGAAGTAAAGCTTTACATTTTTAAACATAATACAAAAGAATATGAGTGTGTGTGTGCGTGTGTGTGTGTGTGTGTGTGTGTGTTTTGTTTTTTGAGAGCGTCTTGCACTGTCACCCAGGCTGGAGGGCAGTGGCGTGTTCTTGGCTCACTGCAACCTCTGCCTCCTGGGTTCAAGCAATTCTCCTGCCTCAGCCTCCCAAGTAGCTCGGATTACAGGTGTGAGCCACCATGCCCAGCTAATTTTTGTATTTTTAGTAGAGACGGGGTTTTACCATGTTGGCCAAGCTGGTCTCAAGCTCCTGACCTCAGTTAACCCTCCTGCCTTGGCCTCCCTAAATGCTGGGATTACAGGTGCGAGCTGCTGTGCCCAGCCATAATAATGTTTTTTTGTTTTTTGTTTGTTTTTCTTTTTCTTCATCTTTCAACTTGAAATAGTGTTTTTTTTATACCCACTCTGAATATCTTATATTTGTACAGATAGTCCTCAAGTTGCAGTCAGGTCCCAATAAACCCATTGTAAGTTGAAACTGTCATAAGTCAAAATTACATTTAATACCCCTGCACTGCTGAACATGATAGCTTAGCCTAGCCTACCTTGAATGTGCTCGGAACACTCGTATTAGCCTGCAGTTGGGCAGACTCATCTAACACAAAGCCTATTTTATAATAAAGTGTTGAATATCTCATGTAATTTATTGAATACTGTACTGAAAGCAAAAACCAAAATGGGTATCTGGTACCCAAAGTACAGTTTCTACTGAATGCATATTGCTTTTACATGATTGTGAAGTTGAAAAACCTTAAAGTTAAAAAATCTTAAGTAAGTTGGGGATTTTCTGTGTACAATAGAAAAGCCATTAAATGTAAAGCAAAAGACTGACAAATTTAATGATACTGAAACTGAAATACCATGTAGCATAAGACTTACCTTTTTTTTTTTCCTTGAAATGGAGTCCTGCTCTGTTGCCCAGGCTGGAGTGCAGTAGTGCAGTCTCCGCTTACTGCACCCTTTGCCTCCCGTGTTCAAGCAGTTGTCTCACCTCAGCTTCTTGAGTAGCTGGGATTACAGGTGTCACCATACCTGGCTAATTTTTGTATTTTTAGTAGAGATGGGGTTTCAGCATGTTGGCCAGGCTGGTCTCGAATTCCTGACCTCAAGTGGTCCGCCCTCCTCAGCCTCCCAAAGTACTAGGGTTACATGTGTGAGCCACTGTGCCTGGCCATTGAAAAAGGATATATTTTTAAATTACTTTGAATGAGCAGAAGACATGGATTTGTAAAAAATGGCATAAAATACATATTAATCAGTGAATGCACATTAAAACCACGTGCCTGTAATCCCAGCTACTCGGGAGGCTGAGGCAGGAGAATTGCCTGAACCCAGGAGGCGGAGGTTGCGGTGAGCCGAGATTGTGCCATTGCACTCCAGCCTGGGTAACGAGAGCGAAACTCTGTCTCAAAAAAAAAAAAAAAAACCACGTTACGATACTCCCAAAACATTTTACTATCACTGGTTTGGCAAAAAACAAAACAATTGACATTACCAGATGTTGGCAAGGATGTGGGGTCATAGGAACTCTTACACACTGCAGGTAGAAGTGCAAGCTGATACAACCACTTTGCAAAACGGATCTGCGAAATCTGAATATGGACCACCCTGTGACTCAGCAATTCAATTCCAAATATAACCTAGAAAAAAACGTTGTACATTCTCTACCAGGTATACTTTTCTGTGCCAGGCGTGAAAAATATGAGGGTTTATAACAGCACTGTTTGTAAGTTTTAACAAAAAAAAAATATGAGGGGGAGGATTCTGGGAAGAACCCAAGTGACTGGCATCAGAGGAATGGATAAACAATTTGTGCATGCAGCTAAAATACTGTTCAGCTGTGGAAATTGAAGGCCGCAGATGATGAGCCTCACAAGCATAAAGTGAAATAAATGAATACCACATGAATCAAACTAGTACATTTATATGAAGTCCAAAGTGATGCAAAACTAAGCAGCACATTGTCAGATAAATGCATGTGTGGTAAGAATATAAAGAAAAGCGAGGGAATTATAAGCACAGAATTCACAGGAGTCTTAGAAATATTTACTTAAACTGGTGGGTACACGGTTGATGACTTTGTCATTCTTTATACTAATAGTAGACATATAGTCTTGGCAGATAGAAAACACTTCCAAGGATTAAAAGGTGATTTGGGCTACAAGGTATGGGGTATGCCAAGAATGGATGTTGGCAAAGCTGCTGCTGGTTCGAACTAGAACAGTGACTGTGGGGAGTGGAAGGTTGAAACGGACCTGAGGACAGTGCAGAAGGCAGAATCAGTGTATCAGAGGTGACTGGATACAGGGGTTGAGGTGAGCAAGATCCACAGGGATGAAACGACTGCAAGGCTTTCAACTTCCGTATCAGATAGAAGATGACTTTGTAGGGCCTTCCCATGCAGGCCAAAGAGTGACAGTGTGAACTTGTCTCCAGAAATTGTTTCTCTGAAATGAATCCTTTTATTCCCGCAAATAAATGATGAGAAAAGGAAAAT